ATTTTTAGAAAATCATTTAAAGTGATACGGAGGAGAGTATCAAATACTATGATATAAATGATCATTCAACTAATCCATTTACGATGAAATTTGATGAAAAAAAAAAACACGCGGGTAAAAAACGCGCGTGAGGTGCGTTACTGAACCGCGAAAATAACGGTCATAATAAACAGAAAAGTGGAAGAATATGGGTGAGTGACGTGGCAGTCGCACAGAAAGGTTTTTGACCAGACCATTAAAAGACTTAAAAGGACCACACAACAAGCTATAACATTGCATTAACATGCTTTTAACAACGCTTCTACTTTGATTTCATTTATATATGAGTATACTAATACGTATGATATTTTGTTCTCAACCATATATAGCATATACTAAATGCACTTCCTGCGGCTATATATCTTAGATCTGTTTGCTACAAAGCCTACTGAGCCAAAAAAAATTAAGAAACATACATAATAAGTAGAAATTCATTTCAAATATTTATTACTATGACTGGTATTAAAACGTAACAGACCCGTTTACAAAAGCAAAAACATTGTTATATACAAATATAATAAAATGCCAAATTGATTACAGAGATCATGGAAGGTACCTACGTGATTTTACTGACAAATAACTATGATGATAGATATATAAACATGTGCTCATTGGTCCCCAAAAATAATGAATGTAGAGAATATATGATCTTTCTTATTTCTTATTAGATCTTTAGAAGAAATTAAAGAACTGAAGAAGGTTTCGATTTCGCAGAAAAAAAGTTAGCAAATTCTAACTTTTACATGAAAAAAGTTTTGAAGACTTAGAAAGGCACAGAAGGTTCCGGTCCCCATTGATGACGTCGCTAGGGTTTTTATTCAGTTCGAACTGCGAAGGCTGTGAAGTACACGTGCAGTGTGGCGCGTGAGACTGAAATCAAGTCTGTGTTGCTGATCTGGCAGAGGAGAGAGGAGTTTTGACTAGACCATTAAAGGGCGAGAACCAGACAAAACATATACATTTAATAACTTGATTAAAACTGCCATGTTATGCTTTTAATGACACTTCGAGACCTTTTTTTTTTTAATTATTAGGGTCTTTAAGACATAATTTAATCAAGCACACTTCTATGTAGTTGGATTTTGATTTCGTGGGATATATTCGATCATGTGATCAACACATTTAGCAATTATGTAGTATCGCCTGGCTAATCGAGATTACACCAAAAGTTATATCATGATTTAGAAGAGCATCAAAATCCCGCATATATTACAGTATAATGAGGTTTCATGTCATTGTTTTGTTTATTGCGGATAATTAAATCATTATGTTGGAGATAGATCAATCTTAATAATGATAAGATTCCCATGAACAACATAAATTTCTAAACCATTTTCATTACATGGCTTAATTCGTTTACTGCAAAGTTGCCACAAAGACAAAGTCCAAATAAAGAGAACCACTTTTGGAAAGTCTATACAGAAAGTTCTTGATCTGAATCTAAGCCTGATAGATCTCATTTACAGAAAACTCCAGACGCAAAAACATTTGTTTATTCTGCGTGTAAATTCTAAGATGAAAAATTGCTAGAGAGCTATGCAGGTATTATTATTGTTACTATATAGTATATAGTTTCAGTCTTCAGAGCTCTAGAACCACCTTACCCGGAATCTGCTTCTTCTCCTTGGCTTCATGAGCTGCTACAACTTCGGTTATCGGAAATGTTTTTTCCACCGGTATCTTTAGCTTTCCCGCTCCAACCAACCGCTTAATCTCGGCTAAACCTTCAATATCGGCCCTCATATACGTCCACCAATAGTCTGTTATTCATCACAGTAGACTTGATCAGATTTACATTTTCTTTCCTACTCAAAAAGCTCAATGAGAAAGGTCTTTATTATCAGAATAGTTCCTTGAAAATCGAAGAGAGGGTAATACAGGATCTATCATAATACCTATTCCATGAGAATATTGATATTGTATCTTTTTCTTCGCCAAGAGTGAAGTTGCAAGCGGAAGCCCAACCAAAAAACCGTATCTATCAGTCAACGATGCAGCCTCACCCTTAAACAAATAAATGCAAAAGAGAAGAAAACAACTTCTGTTAAGCAAAAATCCAAGACATAAGCAGCCAAGGTCACTGCAGCTCGTAAAGCAGAAACAAAAGAAATATTATATACCTGGAGAGTCATATAGTTTCCACCCTTCCTCAAGAAGTTTATGCCTATTCTCTCTGTTTCAGGTCCACCAATAGTATCCAACACAGCGTCAAACTTTCCTTTTACTGCTAACTCAATGTCCTGTACACGAGACAGATACAGGATTAGGAATTAGCACATGAACATCATGCCTGTACTTTGGATGAGCAGACAAATAAACAATTTGTGTCACTACCTCGGTTGTGTAGTCAACAGCTTGCTCGGCACCAGCTTCAAGTATTCTATCTTTGGTCTGACCCACACAAGAGGCTGTAACATGACATCCAGATGCTACCGCAAGCTGAATTGCAGCAAAACCTACTGCTCCTCCTCCTCCAAAAACTAATAGTCTTTGTCTGGAAAGAGAAAGGTTTCAACAATACGTTGTTGAGTCCATAATAGTAGACAAAAAAAAACATGAAAGCATCTGTGACTGTTGAAAGCGGAATAAGTATCAGCTTCCTGCAACATGAAAACAATAATAGATTTTCAACTCATACCCTTCAGTTATTCGAGCATTACTCTTCAAAGCACGCCAAGCAGTCAATGCTGCAAAAGGAATAGCACTTGCCTCCTACAATAGACAGACACAAAAATTGCTGAAAACACTTCACTGAAAAACAATCAAATAGCTAGCCAATAAAGTCATTCAATCAATCGAAAAAACAAAAACCAAAGATAGAGAGAGAGCTTAAAGGGTCTATAGATCTCCCTACTTACCACATGAGAAACTGATGATGGCTTTTCAATGAGTTCGTCTTCCGAAAGAATCCCATAATCAGTATAAGTACCTCTCAACGCTGTAGGATGCAATGCACCAAAAACTTCTTGTCCTACTTTAACTGACTTTACTGAAGTCCCAATCGCTGCAACTTCTCCACTAACATCACGGCCAATTATGATAGGTAGGTGCGGTTCGAATACAGAACGCCCATATCCTGCTCGTATCTGAAATCAATAACATTTGAAACCATAAATCTTGATGCCCATATCAGCATAAGGATCATAAAATCAATCTCACTACTCCTATTTGTCAGTATCGGAGACAAGATTTTGCTTACAACAAAATCTGAAGAACTGAAGCAGTAAACATTCTTAATACAACCATCAATGGGAAATTAGCTTGAATAAGAAGATTGATAAACCCCTAAGCACACGCAAGAGATCCAAGCTAACCGATCACGCCAATCCTAATTCCAAATTAAAGCGAATCCTCGATTATATCTAAATGCCACTAAACAAATGAAATCAAAGCGGATCAAGGAGTAAACACTCACTCTGCAATCAAGAGGGTTGACGGAGACAGCTTTGGCCCGGACGAGAACCTCATTCGGATTAAGATTCGGCACCGGAACATTCTCCCGGAGCTCCAAAACCTCCGGACCGCCAAAACGGGGCAACATCACAGCACGGCAACCGGTAAAGATGCTCCGCAGAGAGCTTAACCTCGCCGACCGGAAAACCAATCCTGCACCAGAACCACCGCGAACTGATCTCATCGCTCGCATTTCTCCTTCGTCTATCAAAAATCAATTTACTCGTCTTCTTCTTCGTTGATGCGAAAATCTGCTTCTTCTTCTTCTATTTTAGCCTTTTAGGTTTCATTTTTTTACACAGAAACGGAAAATGAAGACGTGGCAGCATTAGCGTCCGCAAAGCGGGTTTGTTTTACTTGACTGTACATGCTTTTAATTAACCGGTTTGTTCCCAACCGAGCCGATTCGACCAGTGAACCAAGCGGAATTTGTCAGTTCATCACTTCATTATATGAATTCTTGAAATTGACAGAGGAACCAAGATTAAGAGAAGTGCAAAACCAAATCGTAATTATGCATAAACCGAACCAAATCAGCACATGTGAGAAAAGTTTGTTTTGCTTTCTTCTGTGTTCCAATGTTTCCCAAACCGAACCAAAGAGCATAAATGTGTATAAAAATCTTTTGAGAAGAGTAAGTTGATAATACATGAGCTAAATGTGGTTAACATTGTGATGAACTAGTATACAACAAGAAGATAGTACATATGGGGAACCTGATGCTAAGAAGAATCAAAAGCACACAACAGAAGAATAAATAAAAGACCAAAACTTTTCGGTGATTCTTTGTTTCTGTTTTATCAGTTTTTGCTCTCAGCTTGATTTGATTCAAACAGTTGGGGTTTGATTGGAAGAAGCATTCCCTTCCCTCGCTTTCTTCTTAGGCTTACGCTTCTTTTGTTTCAGTCTCATACGTGTCTGGTCTTTCACATTCCTCTCCCACTCTCTTCTGTTCTTCTGGTAAAGCATCATAGCCGCTCGAGCATCGTCAATCTGCCATGGAAAAGGAGTTCAGAATTGCAGATCCAAAACATGAAAATATGGAATCAAAGATGTTTATTATTATTATTCTGATGTACACACTTACAGGGCAGTGCTCTCCGTTTTGAATGTCGGCACCTAGAAACTCAGCTGCGATATGTTTGAGAGACTTTCTAGTTTTGTCCCTGTTTGGAAGATATATGGATTCATTAGAATTCGACTCAAATGTATAAACTTTCGGAAAGGGAGAAACCGTGAGAAGAATAAGTTGGAGAAAGTGTGAGTACTTGAGAAAGGGCTGATACTCTGCTGTGTCCCTTAAGTCATGTTTCGGGTGAGTTAGTAGCAAAACCTGTTGCAAAGACTAGTTCTGTTAAAAATATGTATTGGCAATGTAATCCGATTCCAGATTTGTGAAACCTATAGACCTTGAGATCGTTGTGCAAGGCGTGTCCCACGAGAATCTTTCCCTTGATCAACTCTGCTACTTTGGTCTGAGCAACGCGGAAATCTTTGGCTGAGGTTTAAAAGAAACTAAATTAAGTTCAAAGTTCCACACCTTTTAGCAGATGTTCCAATTCATTCACACAAAGCAAAGGTCAAGAATGTTGACAGATTCAAGAAAGAAGGTAAGAACTGATAAAAGTAAAACCAACCCTTTTTTAAATCACGAGGTCGAATCCCGCTTATATGCGTTCGAAAGTCAACAACGCGTTCCACTGGACGGACAAACACATCGTATAGAACATTTCCCCATTTATTTACCTGCAAGTAACATGAGTGAAATAACCAGTGACTTTCATGTAGAAGGTGAGATATATACCCTACTCAAGAATATGGATTAAGAGAAAGCCGCTGTGAAAATGACATCAATCTAAAGGGCTCGGAACTGAACCAAACCAGAAAGTTTGCATATGATACAACAACAATGAAAACAAAATACTTGGAAAGGCGGTATATACCAAGGTAACTCGTCCAAGGGCACTTTTGGTTCCTTGACTGACACCAACCATTTCACAATCCATAGCCACTTCATCTGTCAAACTACCCAAAAGGTTTGGTAAGATTCGATGCACAGATTGCTCAGAGGACAAACAGATATTAGCGACATCCATTTTTTAGCTTACAAATTAGAACACTCTCTCAGTACTGGTTAAGTATTTAAGCATCCTAAGTCAATACTACAACAATCAACAATCAAAATAATGAAACGAATAGCTTATAACCAACACTTCTGATCAGGACAATTCGAGAAACTAAAGAAACACACATTTTCCAAAGCAAAAAGACACTAACATGTGAATCTCGTGAAATTCCACTACAAGTTACAAGATACAACATTGTGTATCTCTCAGCTAGTTAATTCAACATCTGAAAATACCCAAAAAGCAAACATGACTCACCTGCAATCGTCATTAACCGGAGTTAGAGGATTAGTCTTAGGAACATCGACCTCCGAATAGGATCTCTCCTTCCGCTTCCCTGCAAGTTTGCTGCGTAAGTTAGAACAAACCATGGTCTATAAACCCTAAACCCAAATTCTCAAGTTCGATTTTTTCGGTTTAAATGCTACCTAATATGGAGCTGGGATCTTCTGGGTCACCATTATTTGAAGATTTTCGAGTGCCCGAGCTATTCGAATCAGATTTCAGCTTCTGCAAGGACAATGACGAGAACCCAAACAAAAATCAATGGCTGAACATAAGTCTG